AATCTAATTCTGGTCCAAAACGAGCCTCCCCTGGTCGCACTTTCGCTTCCAAACGCCCCCTCTGAATCCCTATTAAAATAAACCATGTTCTTTCCTTTCTTGCGCCCTTCCTCGCTCTGAACACCTGGCGCCACCATAGCTTTTCCCTATCTGATTCTTCCAAAACAAGCCTCCCCTGGTCGAGCTCTCGCGCATCCTGACCCCGAACACCTGCTGCCGCCACGGCTTTTCCCAATCTAATTCTGGTCCAAAACGAGCCTCCCGGCTATAGTTTTCTTCCATTTTTCTCGCGCATCCTGGCCCCGAACACCTACTGCCGCCACGGCTTTTCCCAATCTAATTCTGGTTCAAAACGAGCCTCCCCTGGTCGCACTTTCGCCGCCAAACGCTGTCTCTGAATCCCTAGAAAAAAAACAGTTTGTTTCCATTTATCTCGCTCATCTTGACCCCGACCACCTGGTGACGCCACAGCTTTTCCCAATCTAATTCTCGTCCAAAACGAGCCTCCCCTGATTGCACTTTCGCGACATCGTCAACCTTAATGTTCCCTTCAACACTGTGTCCCTGGAAAGTTATCCTTGGCACCGGCGGAGGGTAGGACACCCCGGCACCTCCGTATTCCCTTACGCGCTCCCCCTTGCTTCAACCGGGGTCGGCGGATAAGAAACACGTTCTTTTTGCAAGAGCACAGAAGAGCACACCTGGACTCATTTTGAACTCAGACTTGTTTGACGGAATCACTAAGATCCTTTGTCCTGGAACTACGGTGTGGAGGTCAAGCTAGCTTCATCCAAGGTCAGCCGGTTATGTCATTTCTGTCCATCAGTGAACAATCAATGGACTAGATGAGCATGGATCCTGCTATAGTATATGTGTATCTATATATATATATATATACATATGATGCTTGAACAGTTTACCATGCCATGTTCTTTTGTATCAAAGGGTCATCAGTTGTTGCGTTACTTGAGTCTACGTCTGCGAAGCTTTGCTATTTGTTAAATCATTTGCTTTGCATCCTATTCGAGCATGATTTTTGTGAACTCCGCTCAGAGCTCGGCATCCTCCAGCATGCAAAGCTCAGCGAAAAGCTACAGCGTTTCTTCTGCGCATTGAGATCGCTTGCGCACAAGAAGTTCCTCCATGGCTTTGTACAAATTCTTGGCCGGTGCGAAGGGGTGGAGTGAAGGGTGAGTCAAGAACTGCGGGGGGATGCGAGGAAAGGTTCTTCCATTCGCAGATTGAATCTAGGCTAGCTCAAGAAGCAAGAGTTCGCTTCGAAGTAGCAGCTATGCCTCACTCACTTCAGGACCAGCAAGGCTCGCAGAGTTTTGCCTATTTGTCAAACAAAACACCCACCAACGGCTTTGCATTTGCCAATGCCTCAGGTCCAGCCTTTTATCTATGGTAGACCGAGCTCGATTTTGAAGAACTGATGCATGAAGAAAGCACAGAATGACAGACAATGTTGTGGCCTGACATAGCAGGAGTTGGACCATGAGCGCAAAATGAGAGAGGCCATGGAGCGTGAGGACCGCTTGGAAGAATCTTTTGAAGACACGGTCAGATCATGTTCATCGAACTTCTCTCCAAACTTTCAACTATTAGCCTATTAGCTTCTTGTTACTAGTAGCGATGCCAGGAGCCACTACTAGCGTCCTTGCTGCTAGTAACGATGCCCTTTGTTACTAGTAGTTTCTTGTCCAAGAAGCCCGGGGCCCGGAGGTGCAAGAGTTGAAGGCCAAGCTTTCACGCATGGATCCTTCCATGCTGCCTGCAGAAGCTCAGTGGCACATCCAGACGAAAAGGCGACATGTCTGATAGTAGGAATCATGCATTGCATTGTTTGCAAGAGCTAAGGCCGGACTTGCATCCAAGCAGGGGAAGGGGCCGAAAGTGCCATGTTGGCAAGATCAAGAGTCTCTGGATGGAGGGAAATCAAAGCCTTCCGTGCGAAGGGCCGCGAAAGACGGTTTTGAGCACAGCCAGATACTCCAACCCTAAGTTTCACTGAACTTCTGACCTGTGGAGAAAAATGCTCCAACCTGCCCATGTCGAACCTAAAGAGCGAATACTTGCTCAGTGGACAAGCCGGGCTTCAGCCCAATGTTTGCATGTGTGCTGCCCTCATGGTTTGGCTCAAGAGTGAAGATGACCGCACCATCAGAGGACCTCGCACTGCAAGAGTGTCAGCTGATGGTAGCTCAAGAGTTTGAGTGAACATAAAGACTCGCAGGACGATGGTGGTGATGGTGGTGCCACAAGCAGTCATGCAGCACTCCTCAAATTCGCGTCTTCTTCTGCAAAGGCAAGATTATTCTGGACACGTGTGTTTGTTTCTTATGGTTCCTTGCCGATATTTGTCGACATGCAGGCCGGGACTTTGCCCGAAGAGGTGACTTTGTCTGAGGAGCTAGAAGGCTGGGTTAAGGACATGCGGCAGGACATTGAGATCATTGAGATGAAGAATCACTGAGGCATCATTCGAGGCCTTGCGGAAAACGGGGCTGTACAAAGCTCAGTCTTCAAAGGAGTCCCATGCCTTGATGTTTTTGGTGCGATGAACGGAATGAATATTTGGAATGCCGCAGCATGTCATTCAAAAGTCATCACAGGCTGCTTGCTATCCTTGGGATGCTTTGAGGATACTGCTTGCTGCAACCTCAGAGCTGACTACACCACCAAGGTGCCGTGACCTGTGTTTCCTTGAGGCCAGAAAGTTGGAGAAAGTCCTGGCAGATTTTTGGCGAGAAGCGCCAGATTTGCATCTTCGTGAAGGCACAAGTCGAAAACTGGCCTCAAATCCTCAACAAAGGTGTAAACTGTAAGCTTCTTTCAACAGATTCCATCAGATTCCGTTTGAAGCTGGTGTCATGCATAATTAGCATCATTGGGAAGAAGTCAAGGTGAAACATTTGACGCAGCAGTGGAACCACTCACGCGATCATTGTTGGACCTACGTAGAGAAGGCTGGGAGGGCAGATCACATCTCCGTACATATCTTCGGTTTCAGGATGGTTCCAGGACTTTGAAGTTTTGTGGACTAAGTCTTACTTTGTTCTTAGCCTCAGCAGTGCTTTGGCATTTAAAGGCTTTCTGCCTGTTTCTGGTTGCAAACAATGCTTCCACTTCGGACGAGTGTTTGCAGGTGCTCCATGGACCACTCAGCGGCTGTGCGAACTGCTTGCCATGCCTCGGAAAGGGTACAAATCTACAAGGATGAGATGTCAATGATGCTAGCTGCTGCCACATATACAAAATCATACAACTAGAACTGTCGTAGTGTGCGAAGCGATGCGAGCTTGCAGGAAATACATGTATGCGCTTCAGCGAGCTATATTGATAACCACCACTGAAGAGGCAAGTGCCTGATGATGGTTATGCTTGTTATTTTTCTGACGTCCGTTGGCTTCTGACATCCGTTGGCTTCTGACATTAGGCATTAGCACCGTGCTCACTATCAGTCTCGCAGACACCTATGCGGAGCCATGGGCTTTGGCCGTTTTGAGTTCTCAGACATGTAAAGCAATGATGTTTGGGCGAGGTTACTTCGAAGGTGTTCGCGAGGCGTCTGACATGGAGGCTTTTGCAGCTTCATGTATATCCACTCTGACGCACACATTTCTCCAGTTCCTTGAGACCTTGAGGGCCGACCAGCAGTCGAGACAACAACGGCTGCTGCTATTGCCGCTGCAACTGTTCTTCCTCCGGATGCCCCGGAAGGCTGGATATGGATTGCATTCAAAAGCCACAAAGGAGAACAGAACAGCACTGCATGCATATAGAACTTTGAGAATTCAATAGAAACAGAATGAACATTCAGGTATATGTAATGAAATTGATCAAGAAGGATATCAAGAAGGATCCAATGGTGTTTAACAAATCCCACACGCCTAACATCCTTCGGCTGTTTCATGCGAAGGCACTGCCGCCTTAGAATCAGAGCAAGGGGAGGCAAATCAAGCGGATCAGCTTTCTTCCTGGTTCATGGGTGGTGTTTTTGCTTGCAAGTCTGTAATGTTTCGATTGTTTGCTGCCAGTCCACCCCAGCTGGGCGAAAACGCAAGCTGCCGGAGGAGCAAAACCATGCACGACATGCGCTTTAAGAAGATGTTAGTTGAACTCGCCAAACTTTGGTCTGGAAGATGCCAAGGACGCTACTAGGGGCTCCTGGCCTTACTACTAGGAGCAAGGACGCTACCAGGGGCTCCTGCCAAGGAGCTAGCAAATGGTGTGGTGGAGGAATAGGGCGCTCACGCCCGTTGTTGACAATGCCCAAATGTACAAAGGAAGAGTAGTGGTGAAGCCTGCCCCGATGCGCTTGGCTCATGGCAATTTTGCATCGTTGTGACAGTGTTGTTGGTGGGTTCCAAAATCCTAGCTTAGTGTGTAAGTCATGAATGTTTGCAGCTTTGTGCTTGCGACGTCCAGCTTGGACTTGTGTCACACACCAGGTTTGGAAGTCACATCTCAAGCAAAATAGAGAAATGGCAAAGTGGAGAATTGGAAAGGCGAAAACACTGATGGGACATGTGCAGCGCAGATGTGAGTCCAACCTCCAGCAGACCTCTCAGCGATGCTCCGAGGAAAACTGCACGCATCTTCGTTCTGAATGGTTTTCTGCATGCGGCAGCTTTGTTTTGTGGCCTTCAGTCCCACGCAATTGCTTCTTTGGCTCTAGGTTCACAGTACGCCTGAATACCTCATATTGGCCGCACCCAGAGCCGGAAAATCGCAGCAACAACAAGCACTGCTGCTACCGAGGCTGCATGCGTGCACTATCGCCTTTCAGTTTGCTAACTCTTGCTGTATGGAACTGTACGGCATTGTTGCCTGGTGATCATAATGACGAATGCTGTCATGCTGAAACTTTCCAAAACCGAAGCATTATTATGTTGATCAAAAGATGCCGTCCAAGAGCCGGGATGTTCTCAAAGAATTATGTGAAAAAGAACTATGGTTGTTCACGGACTCGATTGCTGCCAATCACTGCTTGGCCTCTTACATGAGTTGCACAACAAGCAATGATCAATGGTCATTAACGAAGGGCGCCTTCTGGTATTGTCCAAATGCCGCTATGCAGTGTGCGAAGAAGGTGTTGGACCTCGGAGTCCGCCACTGAGACTGACTGAAGACGGACATGTGGCAGACGTGCGGGTGATTGAGGCGCCATACCTGGGCTGCCTCATTTTCACGAAGGCACATAGTTGAACTATGTTTTTCTGGCTGGGGGGAGGTGGACAGTTGGGGGATGTTCTGGAGTATGATGAGTATGTTCTTGTGGGTCTTTTAGGAAACGGATTTTTCTTGAAGAACCGAACCAAAAAAAGAGATGAGAGAGATGAGGTCTTGGCTTTGGCAAGCAGCTATGCAGAGATGGGTTTCCTTGCGAACATCCCAGCATTGGGTCCATGAGAGAGACTGACAGCCAATTTTGGAATTGCAAGACCCAAGTTTTTTTGTGACATTTTGTGACAGAGTCTCTCAGGTAGAAATATTGCTTTCACTTGCCGCATTCCTCACACTTCTGGACATAGTTCAGAGCTTAGATTCTGGTTCCCAGGTTCTGTGACAGTGACAGTCACTTTCTGCGCAGGCAGTCCGAGTTGCAGCTTCAAGGAATCGCCGCTTCAGCCCCTCAAAGCATGGTAAACTGCTCGGACACTGGCAACAATCATGTCAAAATCAAGACTTGCAACTCTTGATTCTAACCCCACTCAGTCCAGCCCAAACCCCTTGCCGGAGCGTTCTTTTCATAGGTGAAGCCTCTGAGGTGCTGATGCCTTGCTTTTTGTCCTCTTCACACTCCAGTGTCCCTTGCAAGATATTAATATAATTACTTGTAAGATCTTGTAAGATTTGTGTGGAAGAGAGTGTATTGGAGCAAGGCTTTTTGTGCGGACGCAAGGAAGCCAGGCTCGGCCTGCTTCAAAGATATTCACTTCAGTGCATATTTCTTGCGACCACTGCTGAAGGTTGTTAACGGAAGGGTCAAGCAAGCGAGTAAGGGAGAAAGTCATTAAGTCATCGGCTCCTTGACCCCAACGATCGCTTCCCAACCCTTGGGTCTTTGGATGCTTTTGACAACCAATTGCACTGGAGCCGCGGATCTGGGTGTTTTGTTCATTCGGAAGTGGTTGGACGAGGTGATGTGCACGAGGGGGTATTGGGACTCAAATAGCCCAACCATCATAATTAGTTGCCAGTCCAGCACCAGCTGGAACTCGGATGAACAACCGAACAGGTACATGGGTGTGTTTCTCCATTGCCCTCCAGAGGGGCTACCTCGAGTTTGTTTTGCATTCAAGGAATTGGCCGTCAAGAATGAACAATTGATAGCTCAACAAGAGTGCCCGCTGTATTGGTTGATCAAGACAAAGGTTCCCTTGTATCGAGAAGAATCAGATATCAGATCACGACAGGTGAGAACCTGCCCATTCATCAACAATGAATTCCTTTGCTTTCACCCAGCCGGGTCGGGACACCTCTTTAGTTTTCCTGCCTTTCTCATTGCCCCCTTCTCAAGTTTGGGCACTGTTAGTTCCTTTTTTTCAGAAAAACAAGACTCGAAAGCATGCTGCAAGATAAGCATGGAGGCAACATTTTTGTTGTACAACCAGTTATATAAGAGATGTATATTATATATTGTCTATAAATGCAATAGTTGGCATTGAGATCATCTCGTGCTGCTAGATTTTTCACTGTGTTTGTTGTCGCTTGTAGTATGTGAGTATGTCAGCCCTGTAAGGAAATATGTGTTTCATGTTTGTTCTTTCGTTTTCTACCGTTTACATTCTTGCACAGGCCAAGCTGCAGAGCATTGCGCTTGGTCTTGGACTTGGCGAGTTGCCAATGTTGAGTTATTGGGATTGACAACCGCTATGCTTGTAACTTTCGGCACGCATCTCACTCCGGTTCACAGGTGCTGCCATTTTCTGTCCTCGTGAGCGTCGGAGGGAGACTTGCCACAAAGTCACAGGTTTGTATAAAACAAACGGCCATTGCTAGTAGGCGCTACTAGGTTGGGGGCCATTGCTACTGAGTTACTGGGTTGGAGGCCATTACTATATATTGCGATTACATCCCCATTGGAATTAAGTGGGTATATCAGGGGGTAGCGATTTTATAGTGCTAAAATGCTGGGACCAACCTCAAAAAATGGTAACTTATTGAGACCATAAAATCGAGATTAATATAGGAAAAGAGTCTAGAACAAGGTGTCAGCTCTATAGAATGGAGGGCCATGAGTCTGCAAAAAGCTGTGAATATTGAAGATATTGCTCTATAAAACGCTGGTCCTGAGATACTGTCGAACATGTGTTTTTAATAGGAGGTAAGAAAATTGGTCTCTATAGAACTAAGGTATAGGGTATTGAAGCCAAACATCAAAAGGTCCCTGTCAAGGAAGGCATCGACTCGCCTGTTGGAAGGACCTCAGATTTATAGTGAAGACAAAGGTCCTCATGGACAGCTATATAAGGGATTGTGATTTTATAGTGTCCAAATGTTGTCCCCAAGTCATCCACTTCCCTCCTGCTCTATAGAATTGCTGTCCCTGACATGCACAATAATGCTAACAATTCTCTATAGAATCAGCATGCTTGAAGTACCAAGATCCACCTCACCATCACTACAACACCTCTAGAGAACTGAACTCGTACAACATCATCAAGTCTCTATGAAATCGAGATACTTCCAGTTTTCTGCTTACAAGCCTCCATATTAACCAAGAAAAGCCTGTTTAAAAAATCGTGTTTCAGGGTACCCAACCACCAGGATTTTGTAGAGGAAATTCCAATCCCTATGCTATTAGGTTGGACAACAAACGAACGAACGAACAAACAAACAGCCTAACAGCTGTCGTCATTTGCAATTGTCTTTTCAGCCGATCAGCATTCCATAGCAAGGAACATGATGCGAATGACCCGGAAACCAAAGCCTCCTGGCACAGGCATCTCTTTTGATGGCTGCAAACCAGGAAACTGTTGAGATTGGAGTATGTCGGAGTATGTGTGCAAGGAACTGATAGATACGACTTTGATAACACTTGTTTTGGTGAAATGAAGCAACCTTTTGTTTAACGACCTGTAGGCGATGCTGAAGAAGGCGAAATCACAACACTTGGAGGTCGGACTCTGCAACATGCTTTTAAGATTCACAAGAAAATACATGAAATGAACTTTTGAATCTTGTGAACACTTGATACTGTTTGAGTTCATACTTGTTTATATAGTTTCTCTCCAGCTCCAGAGGCTCCGCAGAGTAAACTGGTGGCGGCCTGGCTCATTGGTCCTGAGGTGTCTCTCCGAGGACCAAGTAACGGCTGGTGAATAGTTCGAAAAAGGTTGTCGGACAGTTTTGGCCCTTTGACAACTTTACAGTTACAGCTTTGGCCCCAGGCTTTTGCTTTCTCTCTTAGAAAGCCAGGTGATCATTGGTGTATGTGCTGATCAGGTTTCTTGGCTCCAAAAAAGTGCAGGAGGATGTTGGACATATTGAGTTCCCCGAAGCGACGGTCACATCCTACTTTTACAACACAAGTCAACAGGCAGCTTGCATCACTATATTATGTATATACGGACGTATATAATATACTATATATATATACAAAGTTATGTTTGTACAAGTGCAATAAAGTACTAGGTGTTGGAGATATCAAAAGGAAGTTTGATCCGGCTTCGCTGCCTCGGACCTGTGGAGTTTCAGCAATGCGGCACTTCTTGCGGTCAACACGCTCAACCTGGTTCAAGCTGATGAAGGCAACTTCTCGGACAAAACCCACTGCCGAAGCGGACATCATGCCGGTCTTGTTGGTCAGTGTTGCCTTAGGCGGGACATTTCTTCTTGCCAGACGTCGGACAGATATGACAACAGCAAGTCGTATTTCTCCGCGGGACATGCAATATTTGTGTGAAGGAAGCAGCAACTTGTTGTGCAAAGCAAAGTCGGACGGCTATGTTTTGCAGTTCAAGAAGGATGTGTGTAAAGACAGGACTTCTCAGATGATTGATTTGGAAAGACACAGGCTTATGCAGCAGTTTTTGGCTCGCTGGTTTGCAGGTTCGAACGTGAGTGTACCAGAGATTTTGAGTGTCCCGGCCAGTGATGTTCGTGCTGTGGATGCTCACATACTTGCATCTCGCTCCAAGGCAGTTCGCAAAGAGCGTTTGGATGTTGGTTCAGATATCAGAGTAATGTTGCTCCGCAGAGAAGACTTGTTAAGCCCAGCATGCGTGTCGCTAGAGGTCACTCCCGGGTGTGGCTTGCAAGAGCTTCAAGGAATACCATCAAGACACTGCATGATGTATTCAGAAAGCCTATTGAACCCGACTCAGATGCAGAACGATCCCAATTTGCAAGTTTTTTCGGCG